TGACTCGCCCAAGTAATGATGAAACAGTAAATTACAAAAGTAAAAATAAAAGGGATTGTATATAATTGGGGTGCGGTTGGTATAGAGCATAGGCTCTAAACAATCAAATTAGGGCCTACTTTCAAATGGTGTCCAAAAATGTGGTTTCACGACTAGAAATTTTTATGATAGCCTTAAAATATATTTTAATATTTATTTATAAAGTTCAAAGATTAAAAAATAGTGTAGATCGACAGATCTATGAAAACTTGAAAATTTTGAAAATTGACGGTCTAAAAATGCGTTACAAAATCACTATTTTCAAAACTGAAAATCCATTTTTTTCACATGTTCACGTATCTTGATGTCGAGATGATCGATTTGAAGTTATTTGGGCATCAAGACAACCTCTTCTAGTGAACTTTTTGATGTAGGCTCAAATTGATTGTTTAGAGCCTCGGCTCTATATATAAACTTTTCCCTTTTACAATGAGACTATTTACCTTGTACACAAAGTGGTCACAATTACTTACAACCATTCTATGTGATAGCTTAGGTATATCACAAAATTCGAGAAAAATTCCTTTGAACTTTGAGTTTAGTCAATGAAATAAATGTACCCACCCAATTTCATATCCAATTGGTCAAAAGATTATTTGGTATAAGGTGGTCACAATTAATATTGACTATTGGATATGAAATTAGATGGTTGTATTTATTCTTTTGACCATGCTCAAACTTCAAAAAAGAATTTATCAAAATTTGTGACACACCCAAGCTATCAAATTTTACATCGGTTGTTTTCAAGTAATTACGATCTCCTTATATCAAAGGTAAATAGTCTCATGTATAAAATCCCAAAAAAACTAAATAAAAAGGTACTTGGTGGCCACATGCCCGAGAGAGAGCACACGTGGCCAAAGTGTCGCACTCTTTATCTCCTCGATCTCAAGATCTCTATCATTCTTTATAGTCTCTCTCTCTAACCTCCGGAGCTCTACCTTTTTTTTCTTTCTTTCTTTATCAATTATTCTGTTAATAAAGGAACGCTTTTTTATTTTATTTTTAAACATTCACACACAACTTTCCATTAAAGTAAAAAAAGGTTTACAAAATATACAAGAGAAACAGAACACCAAAATTTAGTAGACATTAACAACCAAAGAAGCATGGTTGACACCACCCTGAGCGTCTGTTAATAAAGGAAAGCTTGAAGTGATATAATATCTCTCTTCCCTTGCTCTCTCTCTAGAGTAGTTTGTGTTTAAATTTTGTAGAAAAGTATACCATAAGACCATTTACTTTTGATACAAGGTCGTCACAATTAATTTTGAACATTAGATGTGAAATTGGATGATTGTATTTGTTGGGTGAGTGTGACCATTAAAGGCCTTATGAGTGCTTGTAGAAATGATATAGAGGAACATGAACTTAGTGGGAGTGTGATCCATCGTGGACCATACTAAGCAAACAATGTTTGCTGATACAGGATTGAGCTTGACGAGCTAGGCCAGTCGGTTGCTAAAAACCTATGTGACCTGAGCATAGAAAACTATCCGATAAGGGTTCTAATAAGTCATCCCTTGATGAGGTCGGAATATGCTTGGATGAGTGAGCTGAAGAACTGTGTGACCTTTGTGTGTGATGATAGCTTTCAGAGACGAGAGCCAAAACCTCATTCGCTAGCCATCACACAGCATGCATAATGATAACTGTTTCAGGAAAGTGAACAACCTTTTAGGGTGAAGCTTATGCATGTGCGAGAGATACACCTATGCACTAAAGGAGTTGTAGTCGCATCAGATCTAGGCGACATTAGTACGTCTCTAGGGGAGAACCTTAAATCCACAAACTGAGATTACGACCCTTTGGCTCGTTGGCCAGAATTTGATGACCCACTAATGAGCCGCTACATGGACTGTTGATCATGAAAAACACTGGGTCGGTTTGATGAAGTAAGTGTGGACCGTAATCCACAGTTGAAAGTGGAGTGGCCCAACGTTTATTATTTAATTCATAGATCATATGGATCATTTTCTCATCTAATTACTTTCATTATATTTGTTTTAATTATATATGATTTTTAAAATTATTATTTTAATTTTTTCTAAATCTATGAATATTTTATTTAACAAATTTAGATTTACAAAAATAGAGATATTAATTTTATATTGATTTAAATATTCAAATTTGATTATATGGATGTCTAAAAATCATATAATTAATTTTAAGTACCGCCTAGGGTGGTACACCCCACCCTAATGAAACTTTCCTTGTGTTAGTTTAAGATTTGGCTTGAAGAGAAAGCTTTGAAGTGTTTTGATAAAGGAGTTCATAGTTCTATTAGAGGGTTTGGCCTAAACTTGCTTTCTCGGTTGAGATTGAAGGTTTATCGTTGATCCCGCGTCATCGGATGGTGGTGACTCGGTGTGGAGTGTAATAAATTCGATCGAGGTAATCTCCAACACTCTATATATTTTTCTTGTCATATTTAATTATATTGGCTTTATATTCCCAAGCATAAGAATTGTGGATATTTATTTATTTTTTTAAATAAATTAGTTTAATGGCATCTAGGTTTTTAAGATCTTGGATTTGCTAGTTTTATTTTCTTTGAAGTAAGAGTTATTGTAAAAAGACTACTTGTAAGTGATATTTGCCAAAAGAAAAGAAAAAGAAAAGAAAATGGGTGAAAGAAGAAGAAGAAGAAAAAAAATCCCCCCCGGTAAGATCACATTAGTCTTTCTTTTAGTATTTATTTCAATAACTAAGCTCAACCTTCAAAAGAAATTTTCTCAAACTTTGTAACACACCCAAACAATCAGATTTCACATTGGACGGTTATAAGTAATTGTCACCTCCTTGTATCAAAGGTAAATGTTCTCATTGTATGCAATCCCTATTTTTCCAAGTTCATGAATGAACCAAGTAAATTGCATTTTGCAGTAAAAAGGATTTTGAGATATATCCAGATAACAAAGAAACACGGTATCAAATTTATGAAAAATAATACTAATCTGGTTGGATTTTTTTATAGTGATTAGGCAAGTTCTATTGATGATCGAAAAAGCACTTCCGGCTATATATTCTATATAGGAACAAAAGTGATATTGTGGTCATCAAGAAAACAAAATATTATGTCTTTATCGTCAGCAGAAGCCGAATATATCTGAGCAACAAGAACATCATATGAAATTGTTTGGCTCAGAAGAATTTTATCAGACTAGCATCAAATGCAGGATACCCCCACAACAATTTTTTGAGACAACATGTCAGCCATTGCAATGACAAAAAATTCAGTATTTCACCGCCGATTGAAGCATAATGAAATACGACATCATTTCATCAAGGTATTGACGGAAACCAGTGAAATTGAGCCAAAATTCATCAACACAAATGATTAGGTTGCCGACATTTTCACGAAAAAACTTTCAATAGATAAATTTATCAAATTCAGAGATATTATGAGAGTAATAAATTAAGAGAGATGTTAAAATATTAATTATGCTAGTGCCAAATTAAAAGAAGGGGTGTTAAAATACTAATTTGTCTCCATTCACCGCCATCTCATCTCTTCTCTGAATTTTCCTTTTTACAATAAGAGGAGCGGTGCAAAATTTTGCTTTGTAACTAAGTAAATGAAAAAGTGGTGAATAACAACGGCATTGGAAAGTTGAAGGTTGTAGAAGGGCGGTGTAAAACCACCATGGAAGACCCATTACCTGAATGGAATGGCGGTCTTCAAGCCTCTAAAAAGGGGTGATAGCCTACTTGCATAGAGAATTGATCCTCAAGAAAACAAAAATTGGAGAAGACTCATGTCAAAAAACTCTTGGTCACACTATATCATTGTAATCCTTGTTATACTTTGTATTTCAAATGCAATAAAGAAATACCCTCTTCACCCTATTACATTCTTTGCTATTTTTTAATGAAATTATTATACAACGTTTCCACAAATTTCGACCAAGGGAATGGCGTGGAGTTGGGTGCACCATTGGTTTGGGCACCCACTTTGGGTGCAGAAGGGCTCAAATTAGGGGGCAATCGGGTCAATTCCAAGGGTATTAGGAGGTTAGAAGAGGTAGCAACCTATACGGTATTTGCATTATTAGTAAGGGGGTAATATAAAAATAAAAAAAAGGCCACAGCGGAAGGGGGTGATTTCAGGCAGATATCAAATGGTAATTGACCCCCTTTAATAATGTCAATACATAATTATTATTTTTTTATTTTTATTTTTTCTTCTCTCTCTACTTTTAAAGTAAAATGCATTTTCTTTAATGGTTTTTTTTAAAGGAACTTGTCCACGGAAACTATGACCAAATTCTGAACTCCTCCATAAACAAGCATAAGAAGGAGAGAGAGAAAGAGACTCTGCTCAAAAGAGACAGAGAGAGAAAGAGATTACGTTCAAAATAGAGAGAGAGAAATAGATATTATGTTCAAATAAGAGAGAGAAACAGATATTATGTTCAAAATATGGAGAGAGAAATAGATATTTATGTTCAAAATAGAGAGAGAGAAATAGAGATTATGTTCAAAATAGAGAGAGAGAGAGAGAGAGAGAGAGAGAGAGAGACTTACCTCCTTA